CTGACATCACATACTTAAGTAAATAAAACGAGAATGGCAAAATCTCACATGGTATCTTTCCGACAGACAGGACCATTTTCAGCAAAAAAACAATAACAACAAAAAAACCCCAGAAAATAAAGCAATTAGAAAGGAGCATTAAATTCTCCACTCTCGGCCATAAAATTAATAGCTAATTTAGTGAAAGCTCGTTGTCTTTCTTAAATAGTTGGACCTTCAGGCTGGGTGATGACAGGGGATTTATGCCTGTCATCTCCACAAATGACCAGACACGGTGCTTCAGGGAGATCTAGTAACTCTGTGCTGATTTATTTCAAGTTCATCTCCAAGGCCGGAATCATTTTTGTTTCCTCCAAGGACCCAACTGGCCGACCCCTAAAGACTTCCCACTTTCACCAAATCCTCCCCAGTCTGAAACACAACTGCTCAGTTTGACAGTGCACTTTGCCTTTGTGGGTCACTTTTCCAGAAATAATGATGAGACCTTAACCAGAAGGAAGAGGCCCAGCTCACACGTCCACAATGAACAGGTCCTGATTCACCTACCTGGTCTCTAAATTCAAATGTAGGTCCTCAAGGGCACAGAGTGTGTCTATTACTTTTAATTTTCTTTTCCCTTTTCCTACAGACCTAGCCCTTTCCTACAGAAGGATGTCACTTCTCAATGATGTCTGCTGGCCCAGTGGCCACGTTGGTGCAACCCCAATGCTGTGCTGGAATCCAGTGGTACCAGCTTATGGGAGCCACCCAGTACATATTCAGAATTCTGTCATCTGGTTGTTAAACCACTAGTAAACTACAGTCTGCCACAGTGTGGGTATTTACAGTGCTATTCAACAGGGCGTGCACCTACCTGCCCAGTGTACCAGCCTCACTGGCAACACCCCAGGACCAGTGTGGCTCTGAGCTGCCCATGAGATCCTACCTCACTCTAAACATATGATAACTCTATTTTAGGATGTCGAGGTTTGTCCCTAAAAGATGAAAAATCGTGTGCTTCTCATGCGAGAGGCATTTTTTTCCAAGTGGGTAACTTACCAATACACGGAATCCATACAACAATC